GTCTTGAACCCGCGGACTCAGGCAGTCCACTCACCTCAGCCTCCCAAAGGTGCGGGATTATAGGCTGAGCCACCGAGCCTGGCTCTGGTGCTTTTTGCCATGGAAGTGTCGGTAGACAGGGTCGTCTTTCCCCCAAATGTCACGTCCTCAGACACCAGGGCAAGACGCAGCTGCGCGTGTAAGAAAACACGCCCCGGGATTCTGTGTCCTGCACCCTGGCTAAGGTGTGTCCTCACTCGATGTGGCCCGCTGAGCGGTTGCCCTATGTTGAGTCCCGAGCTGTGAGCTGTTGACTGACTCTGCGGGAGACCGGCAGGTGTCTGCCCGCTCTCATGAGCTGAGCTGACTCGGAAGTGGCACCCGGGTCTCTGTCCTTCCCTGGCGGCATCACGTGGAAGGGGGAGCTTGGCTCTTGGTGGGTGAGGAAGCTGGTTCCAGAGCCCGAGACTGCCGCCTGGGGCTCAGAGCCAGACACTGAGCAGAGCCTCCAGGGGGTCTGCGGGGACCTGGGCTTGGGCTCTTCCCGTGTGGAGGCCCTTGCGCTTCAGGGAGTTCTCCTTTCCCCTCCCTCCCTCCCTTCCATTCTTCCTTTCTGGCGGTGGCTCATCACTCGATTTTGAGCTCGTTGCTGCTGAACAGTGGAAGTAAATCTAAATCCTGGAACTCGAGGCTGTGCGGACGTGCCCGTCCGTGGTGTGGCCGCGTGTAGCTTTCTCCCTGCTGTCCGAGCTTCCCCTCTCCCTGGTCCCCACCCTCTCGGCCTCTAGAGCCACATGCCGGTGCCTGTGGCATGAGTGTGGACGTGACCGTGCTTGTATTTGTCTTCCGGCCCCCTGGTCATAGTGCGGCGCGACCATCGGCGCACACAGCTTTGCTGCTCCCGGTCCTGCGTGCATTTCCTGACGTGGCGAGCCACGGGCCCAGTGCGTCCCCAGGAGCGCCGCTGAGCCGCCCGCGTCCTGTGTTCCAGGTCCATGAACGTGTTCCTCATCGTGTATCTCTGCATCCTCGTCAGCAAGGCTCTGATCAACACGGTCCTCAAGTACGTGTGGCAGAGCGAGCCCTTCCGCGACGAGCCGTGGTACAACCGGAAGACCGAGTCGGAGAGGCAGAGGAACCTGGTAGGCGGCGCTCTTGCGTGGTCACGGGTGGCCGTGGCTGCTGTCGCGGGGGCGGGGTGGGCAAGAAGGCGTGGAGGGGCGTGTGGTGGGGGGTCATGCTGACCGGCTCAGCCTTTGTTGCAGACTCCGTGGCCCCCACTGGCCTGGAGGGAGATCAGCTCTCCGGCGCATTGTCAGGACAGCCCTCGGGGCCTCTGGTGTCTCCAAAGCCTGGTGGCATCCGCTGTTTAGGGCGCTCAGGAAATGCTTATGAGCCACTGTGAGACAAATGGTGCCAGTTTGTGGCCAGTCCCCGGAAAAGGGGTCCAGCCCACACTGAGCCCGCAGCAGGCCGTGTGCAAGCCCCAGTCTGTGTGCACTGAGCCCCGGCAGTGCCATCTCCGAGCTAGCCGCGCCCACTGGCACAGCCTCAAAGAGGAGGAGGAAGCATCCTGGAAAGTCATTTTGCTGAGCTTCCTTTTTGACACTCACAGGTCACCTGTTGGTGAGTTACTTCCCGAAGAGTCCGAGGGATCGCGTGAATGCTCAGCGGGCAATTCGCCCACTGGGGATCAACGTGCTGGGCCCTCTTACCCTGTGGTGTAACCTTCTCCTCCGGCTGCGCCGCCCTGGCCTGCAGGGTGTGTGCAGGGATCAGGAGACCCAGTGTCTGCACCTGCTCTGAGTGGGTCTCGTGCTCAGGCTCTGACATGCCGTTCCGAGTCGTGGCTTGTGCAGCCCGCGCCGGGCGTGGGTGCTGGCCGCTGTGGTGGCCCGGCCGCTCCCCGCAGGCCTTATCCTCGGACTCTGATGTCCTCTCCTGAGTCGTGGCTTGTGCAGCCCACGCCGGCATGCGTGCCGGCCAGCTTGCTGGCCCAGCTGTCCCGGCGGTGTGCTGATCACGCCCCCACAGTTCCTCAGGGCGTTCACCGACTTCCTGGCCTTCATGGTGCTGTTCAACTACATCATCCCCGTGTCCATGTACGTCACGGTCGAGATGCAGAAGTTTCTGGGCTCGTACTTCATCACCTGGGACCAGGACATGCTCGACGAGGAGACGGGCGAGGGGCCTCTGGTCAACACGTCGGACCTCAACGAGGAGCTGGGGCAGGTCAGTGCCGGCCCGTCTCTCCTCGCTCGCGTCCCCGCGTCGGCCACGCCCAGCCGGCATCGGGCCCCTGCAGGGTGAGTGTCGCGCCGCCTGACCGCGCTCTGGACGGCCGCGGCCGCACGCCGCCCTCCTGACTCACGCCTGGAGATGGAACCGGCAGTGGGGAGAGCGCAGCAGGTTGCTTCCGCACTTGGCGTTTTTGAATTGTTGACGGTTTTGAGCTGGGGCCTCACTCTGCCACCCACGCTAGAGTACAGTGGCATAATCACAACGCACCACAGCCCCAGCCTCCTAGGCTCAGGGGATCCTCTGGCCCCAGCCTCCCAAGTAGCCCAGAAGATAGGCATGTGCCACCATGCCCAGCTAATTCTTGAATTTTTTGCAGAGACGAGGTCTCACTGTGTTGCCCAGGCTGGTCTCAAACTCCTGGGCTCGAGCAGTCCTCCTGCCTGAGCCTCCCAAAGTGTGGGGGATGACAGGCGTGAGCCCCTGCGCCCGGCTTGCTTCTGAACCTGGTTTGCACAGCAATTGGCAGTGCTTTCATGGTGGGATTCACAAAACGGACGTGCTGACGGATCTGCGTTGTCTCCCGTGGCCCCCCGGGGGTCTCCTGGGTTCTGTGGTGTGAATAAGGGCTGGCGTAGGGGTGCACGAGGTCGCACGTGGAGCCCCTGCTTTGACCCATGGTGTTCAGTTCTCCCCACGAGCCATTATCTTCACTTCAGAGATGAGCCGGACGAGGCTGCCAGTGTCTCAGCACTCGGTGTGTTACAGGGAGTTCAGGCGCCCTTTAGTAAGCCCTGCCACACGGCAGCAGCCTCCAGAGCTCCGCAGCACCTCCACCTGCCCACGCCTCAACGTCCCCACCTGTAGAATGGGTGCGGTGACAGACACCTGCCTGGAGAGGTTGTCCTGAGGGTTAAGTGGGATCATGGGCACGGGTTCCTGTCCCAGCTTCTGGTGTGATCGTCCAGGGGGAGGCTGCATCCCCTGCAGTCCCTCCTGCTGTCGCCCGCTGCCCCCCAGAAACCCCTGCCACCCTTTTGCTGCAAAAATAATTTTTAAAAAAACTAGCCAGGTGTGGTGGTGCACGCCTGTAGTTCCAGCTACTCGGGAGGCTGAAGTAGAAGGGTCGCCTGAGCCCAGGAGATCGAGGCTGCGGTGGCTGTGATTGTGCCACGGCACTCCAGCCTGGGTGGCAGAGTGAGACCCTGACTCCAGAAGAAAAGTGAAAGAAACAGAAAGCAAGGACTTTCCCACAAGCAGCCTTCTCTCCATACCCCTGGTTAAGGGCACAGCTGGATTCGTATCCAGAGTTTTCAAGCTTTTGTTTCCATGATTGTGACACTGAGGTCATAAGTGGTTGGTGTGAGGGTTAAATGAGGTAGGGCCAATGCCTGGTGCAGGCTAAGTGCTCGTTTGGAGTGAAAGCCTGTCTTCGTTTTTGGATTGTTGATGGTTTTGTCGTAGTCCCTAGAAGCGTGCTGCCTATTTGCAGCCCGACAAGATGAAAAATCACACTTCTTAACTTCTGTCATCTTGCTCTTTTCCGCTTCGCCCTCTAACACACGGCTTTGGGGTTTAGTAGTGTTTTCCTCTAAGTCATGTCACATTCCCGTGCAAGATGGCGGCACCCAGGTCGAGTGCACCTTGGGAATCCAAGTGCCTGGAACCTGAGGGACCTACCGGCCCTCCATGCCGTCGGCCTCAGATCCAGGACCTCTTGCTTTGGATGTTGACGGTAGATGCACGGCCTGTGTGCTTACCTGAAGTTGGGGTTCAGCACTCACGGTGTCTTGAGCATGCTTCCGTCTTCTGTCTGAAACGGGCCCTGTCCTCGCTTGTGGGCACTCCGTCTCTGGCCCTCCTGCCGTGCCGAGAGTTTTGGCCTCTGGGACTTTGCAGAACAAGCTCGTCCTCTGTGGCTTTAGCTCGTTGTTCAGTGAGATTGGGGTGACGCCGCTCTGTCTTTGCAGAGAGCCCCGGCTCCCCTGTCTCCATCCCTGGGAACGGGACTGTGGGGCCGGCCCCGTGTGGCTTTGAACCCAGAGGATGTGTCACCCAGGCCTCCCCGCATCCTCCTGGGTTGCACCTGCCGACCTGTGGGGTCCTTCGAGCACGGCAGGTGGCAAGACCCGAGGTCAGCCGGCCATCTGTCGGGGAGACCTCAGAGCACCTCTGCTCTTGGGGCCTCATGGGGTTGGGGACACATGGCTGGGGGTGGGACGCCGGCCTCACGCCACCCCCGCCTCGGTGCTGCAGGTAGAGTACATCTTCACCGACAAGACGGGCACGCTTACCGAGAACAACATGGAGTTCAAGGAATGCTGCATCGAGGGCCACGTCTACGTGCCCCACGCCGTCTGCAACGGGCAGGTGCTCCCCGACGCCTCGGGCATCGACATGATCGACTCGTCGCCCGGCACCAGCGGGCGGGTAGGCGCCCCCCCGGCTGGCCACGTCTGTCCCCCTCTTCACTTGGGTGTCCGGGAAGGTCCAGCCCCTCCGTGGGCTTCAGGGGGGAGCGGCCGGATGTGCGGTGTGTGAGGTGCTCCAGGGAGAGTCAGGTCATGAAGGCTGTCTTAGAATCGGCAGTGAAAACCCAGAGCAGATGTGTGCCGAGAGTAACACACGTGTGCAGAGCGCCTGTGTGGGCAAGCTTGAATGTGCATGTACTTTGTGCATGCACACAAACGTGTGCACACAGATTGCATGTGCATGCACACACACTGGTGCACACATATGAATGTACAAAAGGCACACACATACACACAGAGACACAAGGATACAGTCATGGGAGCACAATAGCCACACGTGCACACATGTGCATGCACACACAGAGGCACAAGGATGTAATCATGTGTACACACATGGACACACTGGATGCACACACACAACACAGACACGTGCACACGCATGCACATGCATACAGACATGTGGCCACACAGATACTTGTGGGCACAGTAGTGTGCACATGTACAAACATGTATGCAGGCACACAGCCATGTGGACACAGTCGCGCACACATGCATGCACGCAGAGACATGCACGCACAGAAGCAGCAGGCGCTCATGCACACACATGGCACACATGAGCTCACACACGCAGATGCAGCCGACACTCCTGCACACCCTCACACCCTGTACCCCAGATCTCAGCCTCTCCAGGTGGGCTGCAGTCCTCAGCCGGGGTCGGCCTGCAGATGGTTCTGCAACACAGGAGACTGGAGAGCCACGTGTGGGGTCTGCTGGGTGGCGCTTCTGCTCCCTCCTGCCCCTGAGGGCGCCGAGTCTCCTCGCAGCACCTGCTGGGGCCCCACAAAGACTCGCGGCAGTTCCCGGGCCAGAGCAGACTAATGGGAGCGTGTTGCCCCGCCCCACGCCTCTCTCTGCCACGCCCCTGGGGCAGGAGTGGAGCCCCCTCGCCCGGCTGCGCTTCCCACTGGGTGCACGTGGTGATCCGGGAACCTCCTCGCTCTGGAGACTGCAGCACGCAGGCGGGAGGGCTCAGTCCTGGGGGCCCGACACACCCCTTCCTGAGTCAGCGTCTGCAGTTGCCCAGCGGCACCACGGCTCCGCGGGACTTCTCGGTGTGAGTCACAGTGGTCCTGACCACTGCAGCACGCGTGCCGTCAGGAGTCCATCACCACCGCCCAGCGCCAGGGGGGCACACAGGGCCAGGGGTCGGAATGTGTGTTCGTGGTACCGTCTGCCTCGGTCTCCCTGCCTGTGTCTGAGGGCCCAGCCGTCCGCCACGTCCGTCCGCGCCAAGGCTGGGTTCCTGTGCTGCCTTCCCCAGGAGCGCGAGGAGCTGTTCTTCCGGGCCCTCTGTCTCTGCCACACCGTCCAGGTGAAGGACAGTGACGACTGCGTGGACGGCCCCAGGAAGTCGCCGGACTCGGGGAAGGCCTGCGTGTACATCTCGTCCTCGCCCGACGAGGTGGCGCTGGTGGAGGGCGTCCAGAGGTGGGTGGCGGGATCCTGCCCAGCCCCATGTCCGGGACTCGCCCCTGGACACGTCCTCGGCCCTGCCTCTGGGCTTGTGGCCTTGCGGGCTCACAGAGAGGCTGCCTCGATGCCGGGGCCCCGTGGCTGTCACATGACCACCCACCCGTGGCATGGGGCAGCCTGGCCCCAGACGCACGAGTCCACACCTCTGCCTTCCCACAGGTGGTTTTACCCCTGGCCTCCGCAGGGTGGCTTAGAGGTCTTTCCAGACCACCGCGGGCTTTTAAAGATGGAAGCCACTCCGCACGTCTCGTGTCCCTGCAATTCCCATCACTCTGCACCCCCGTCACAATACACTTCCCATATCCCTGTATGCCAGCCTGGGGGACAGAGTGAGACCCCATCTCTGTAAAGCAGGGGTTGGCTGTGTGTGGTCATGAGGCTGCCAAGCCCTTTCTGAAAACGCCAGCCAGGGTGTGCCTCGCCGTGTGTGCTGGGGGTCGTTGGTCAAATGCTGCAGCTCTTGGGGGAGGCTCCGAGGTGGCGGAGACGTTCGGAACTGTGATGTCCTACTCCACGCAGCTTACAGCCTCTGTTCCGTTGAAGGTGTTTCTTTGAAAACGAAGCTTTACCCAAGTGTCTAACAAACGTCCTCTGAAAGGGGGCGAGTCAGAATTTCAGACCAACCCTGGATCTGCCTTCTCGTCTACAGGCTCGGTTTTACGTACCTGAGGCTGAAAGACAACTTCATGGAGATTCTGAACAGGGACAATGACGTTGAAAGGTGCGTGGCTGCACGTGGGGATGTGATGATAGGCTGGGCATGGCGGCCCAGGCCTGCCATCCCAGCACTCGGGGAGGCCGAGGCAGGAGGATCACTTGAAGCTGGGAGTTGGAGTCTAGGCTGGGCCACATAGCGAGACCCCACCTCTACGAGAAAGTAAATAAATGAGCTGTGTGTGGCGGCGCGAGCCTATAGTCCCAGCTACTAGGGAAGCTGAGGCAAGAGGATCACCAGACCCGGGAGGTCGAGGCCGCGGTGAGCTGTGATCGTGCCACCGCACTTCAGCCGGGTTGACAGAGCGAGACCCCAACTCAAAAAGTAAATCAACAAGCTGTGATGCTAACGAGGAATGGCCTCTACGTGGTTTTTCGTTGGAGAAAAGCCAGAATCTCCGTGCTTCTCCCACAGCTCGCTCCTTCCCCCTCTCTAATGCAACTCGGAGACGGTTTCTGGAAGGTTCCAGAGAGCTGCCAGGCAGTTAGAGGGGAGGGCGTGGTGGGTGAGACTGCTTCCCTGAACAGTTTAACTCGGAGACATAGGTAGGTGTTCAGTGAAAAAAAAGTTTCGCCATCAAATTTGTTTTAGGCTAAGCCACTTGAAATATGGTTTCGCTGCAGGAGTTATCAGGGCTTCTAGACTGTTCTGACCTCTCCAGACCCTGGACTCTGGGAGGGGGGAAGGAGCCGCCACCCCAGCGGGTGGAGCACTGGCCCTATGTCCAGGAGCACCGTGTCCTCTCCGGAACAGCTTGCACCGTGATGCTTTCGACTGACCGGTTTGACGTGGGGTTGTTCTGCTTTTCAATTTTTAGGGGCTGCCCCAGTCCCAAATTTCATGTTCCCAAGAGAGAGGACATGTGTTGAGTTGTGAGACAAAGGCAGCGGCGTGTCCTTTGTCATGCCTGAACGTGCAGTCACGGACCCAGCAGAGACAGGGCAGAGAGCCTGAGATTTGCTGGGGTGGGCGGCTCCTAGAAACCTGGGTCTTACATTTCACGTAGGGAAATAAACTCCCAGGTCCACAGGCGTGGGTGAACCCGATTCACGACCCACTTTTGGGTCCATGCTGACACCTCAGGGCTTCCCGGGACTGGGGTGACTTCCCTGGGGTCCAGGCTTCCAGGTTCCAGCTGTGGAGGCCATGAGGTCCCGGCTGAGACCAGAGCTCAGGCCCGGGCTTCCCCCCAGCTCCCAGGTCTTGGTCTAAGGGGGCAGGGTGACTGGGAGTGTCGCAAACGCCATGCAGATGTTGTGAGTCTTGGGTCAGAGTCCTGAGTCCCTCACTGCAGTGCCAGTGTTTGTGGCTTTTTTCACGATTTTTACCAACTTGGAGAGCAACGCTGGCTCATCCAGGGATCTGGACTTGGGCACAGCTTCGAGAGTGTCTGTTCTGTGATGCTAGGAGCGGGAGCCCTGTGTGGGAGGCACCACCGGCTTGGCCACAGACCCTGGGCCTGTGCCCTGTGGGGGGCGGGGGGGATGGCCAGGAGCAGGTACTTGGGACGCGTGGTTGCCAGACCCTCCCCTCGGGGCACACCTGTCTTGGTGTCCCGTGAAGTCCCCTGGGGCCTGTGCAGGGCTGCAGTGTGTCCCCCACAGGAGGGCCAGGGCCTGGCCGTCACCCAGATTGGAGCCCATACAGACCCCGGTGGAGGCCAAAGCCGCCCCATTTCTTTTTCAGGTTTGAATTGCTGGAAATCCTGAGTTTTGACTCTGTAAGAAGGAGAATGAGTGTCATTGTAAAAGCTGCTACAGGTAGAAATTTCTTTTTCTCTTGGTATTGTGAATCACATGTGGTGCTTGTGTTTTATTCTAATGACTAGATCCTGTGGGAGCTTTAGGGACTCAGAAAGTAGGAACCATTTAGATGGACTCTTTTATAATCCTATTTTTAATTTCAAAAACAAGTAAAGCCTAAAAAAAAGCACTTGAGACTGAGTCTTGGGCCCAACACCCCGGCCCTCCCTCGGGGATCTCCCTGTGTTGAGTTGGGGTCACATCCCCACCACGAGTTGTTCGTCCAGCCCTGACTCAGAGTGGCCCCCTCTTTCACGTGTGTACCTAGACAGCGTGGAGGCGTTTTCCGTTAACTGTATTTTGGGAAGAGGCCACATGGGCGTATACATTTATCTGGAACAACATTCAGACTCCCAGATGCAGTGAGGCCTGCCGGTCGGTGGTGGCCATTTGCTGCCTCGCTGAGAGCCTCATGCGGGCCAGGCTTGGAGTCCTGTGTGATCACTGGCGTGGGGCGCCGCCTGGCTGCCGTGGCCATGGTGACCTTCCCGCTGAGCCATTCTTGCTTCGGTCCCCACCCCCACCCGTGGCCGACCCTGTCCTGACACTCCCACCTCCCCCACCCCCCAGGGCCAGCCTCTCCTGGTGGGCACCCCAAGGTCCCTCATCCTCTCCGTGTGGAGGTCTCCTGCCCCCGGGCATCCCCCGTGCACAGGCGGGCCACCTCGCCGCGTCCTCTCCTCCTCAGCAGGGCCACGGCTCATGGATCGCAGCAGCCTCCGGCTCCCAGCGCCGAGGCCAGGGCCCCAGGCTCCTCAGGCTCTGCCCTGGGTGGGCGTGGCTCGTGGGTCCCTCCTGTGGGATCCCTCCTTCACCCTGCTTGGAGTCACCCCGGCGGCTAGTCCTAGGAGAAGTCTGGGAGTTTAACGGATGCAGCCATGCTTCAGGCAGTGACACCCCCTGGGTCGTGCGCCCATTGCATGGGTTTTCTAACCTCACGGGCGGGGAGGCAGTGGCTGCAACCATTAACAGCTCCAGCTTCTTCCTGGCTCGCCCTTGGCGGAGTGCAGTGTGGGAGCCCGGCCAGCAGGGCCTTCTTCCAACAGCTGCAGGAAGACCCATCTCCAGACCTGGGACTCCCAGCAAGACCTGCCTCATAGAGTCCCCATGGCTGAATTTGAGGCAGGCCTTCGAAGCTCCAGGCCGTTTGGCATGGAACCAACTCTGTAGGGTGTCCTTGGGGCATTCATTCTGCCACCCAGAGCAAGATGTGAGCACCACCACACAGGACACCACCTGGGGGGAGGAGAAAGCCACACCCCTACTGCACACTCTCTCGGAGCTGCTCGTGTAACGGCCGTCTCGGGGACATTTGCTGCCACGCATGCCTTGTCCCCGAGCTGGCGTGTGAGCCACAGAGGAGACTGGCCATGATGAGCTTGAGCGACTGTTTTGTGTCCTGGCCCTTCTCTGAGCCTCTGGAGTCCTGGCGTCTGGGGGCTGAGGGCTCCATCCCGTTCCAGCATCCTGAGAACAGATGAACACATGAGGGCCGCCGGGCCCAGGGCCACATGGCCCCACAGGCCCGAGGGTCCCTGCGTAGGGCAGGGCTTGAGTGACTGGAGCAGTGCTGGAGTCTCCCTTTGCCGTCCCATCGCTTGAGTGTTCCCCGACTCCCTGGAAGAGGAACTCACTGGTCTCAAGTGCAGAGCTCCTCACAGCTCCACATCCAGAAGGGGACTCGCCCCAGCCATGTTCCCTGTGACTCTTGCTGGTAGTGAGGCGACCCGATGTCTCACTCTCCATCGAGGCAGGGGGCTTTCCCAGAGGGTCTTGTGCTCGCCATCCAGGATTTCAGCACCTGTGGCCCCCATTCGGGCCCTGTCCTGAGGGTGTTTCCTGCCCCTTCGTGTCTTCCCAGAGAGAAGACAGAGGCACAGGGGCAGCCCAGGAGATGGGTTCCTCCGGCCCTGGCCTTCCTTGGTCTCCAGCGTTGTGGGAATGAGGGTGGGGTGGGTGGCATTTCTGACGGTCACCTGTTAACGGGCCCATTAAGGTTTTCTTTAAAGTAGCCTCAGCACTGGGATGTCCGTGTTTTGGTTTTTTTTTTAAGTAAAGGTATAATGTGGGAACTGATTCAGTCCTCCCTGTATTGTAATTAAATTAAGCATGCGTGTTTTTTCTCACGGTGCAGGAGAAATTTACCTGTTTTGCAAAGGAGCAGATTCTTCGATATTCCCCAGAGTCATAGAAGGCAAAGTCGATCAGATCCGGTCCAGGGTGGAGCGCAATGCCGTGGTGAGATGGGGAGAGGGGCAGGAGGGTCACGGCAGGTGGGAGGAACCTCATGGCGGCCGGCAGTAGGGGACTTCGTGGCCACGGGGGGTGGGGTAGGGAGCACTTGGTGGCCAGCAGGGAGCCTTGATGGGGACCTCAGGTGCCAGGGGGGCCTCACCGCAGCCGGCTTTTTCTCCTCGGTCAGGAGGAATTCCATGTTCCAGCAACCCTGGCTGAGAATGCCACACAGTTCCCAGGGAGCATTTAGCCATCAGATCGGGTCCTAGAATGTCAGAATGGGTCCTCGAATGCCATCTCCTTCCTCAGGGAGCATTTAGCCATCAGAATGGGTCCTAAAATGCTGTCCTGTCCCCAGGGAGCATTTAGCCATCGAAACTGTACTAGAATGTCAGAACAGGTCCTGGAGAGAGTGTTGAGCCATCAGAATGGGTCCCAGAATGCCATCCTATCCCCAGGGAGCATTTACCTCAAAATGGGTCCTAGAATGCCATCTTGTCCCCAGGGAGCATTTAGCTATCAAAACTGTCCGAGAATGTCAGAACGGATCCTGGAATGCTGTTCTCTTCCTCAGGGAGTGTTGAGCCGTCAGAATGGGTCCTAGAATGCCATCCTATCCCCAGGGAGCATTTAGCCTCAAAATGGGTCCTAGAATGCCATCCTGTCCCCAGGGGGCATTTAGCCATCAAAACTGTCCTAGAATGTCAGAACAGGTCCTGGAATGCTGTTCTCTTCCGCAGGGAGTATTGAGCTGTCAGAATGGCTCCTGGAGTGCCGTTCTCTTCCGCAGGGAGTATTGAGCCATCTGAACCGGTCCTAGAATGTCAGAAGGGATCTTCAAATGCCATCTTTTTCCCCAGGGAGCAGTTAGCCATCAGAAAGGGCCCTAGAATGCCATCCAAGCCCCAGGGAGCATTTAGCTGACATAATGGGTCCAGTGGAGACTGAATGGGAGTCCCCCTGCTGGCCTCTCCCCCGAGGGTCCGCCCCCCTTTTTCCCCCAATGCACAAATCTGGTTCGCTGAGACCTCGTGTGTGTTTTCTTTTTGTAGGGGCTGCTAGGTGGGTGGGCTGATGTTTTGGGGGGGTCAGAATTACAAACCCATTTGTGGTTGTTGTCTTGGGACAGATAGGCTTGTCCTGAAGGGTTTCAGGGATGCTTTTGAGAGGCCCTGGCATCACCGAGGGCCTCCCCCCACTTGTCCTGGGGCTGCAGTGCCATCCGCTCTGTGGTGATAAGAATCCAAGTCAGCCGGCCACGCACCAGATTCCTGCCCCCCGCCCCCCGCAGGGTGGTCTCTGCACTCTGAGCCTCTCCTTGCCCTTCGCACTTCTGTGATGCACGTGTCCCCTGCTGGGCACGGCGGCCATGACCACAGGGTGCTGACTCCACCACAGTGCCAACTCCGGGCTGGTTGCAGGGGACGGACAGGTCCCCTCGTTTGGGGTGAGGGCTGTGCCCCACGCGCTGGTGGCCTGTCACAGTGCCCGCCTGCGAGACTGCTGGATGCTGGCTGTCCTGGCGTTCCTGGAGGTCTGGAATTTTGTCCTGGGATGCAGCTGAGTGTCTGGAACGGCTTGTTCCCTCCAGCTCTGTGCTGTCCGGCAAGTCCAGAGCAGTGCACGTTGTCCGTAAAATTGCACATCGTTATCCTAAAAAAGTTTACGTTTAACGCTGCATGTGTCAAAATAAAGGAGCAGAGTCTGCTCTTTCGGTATAGCGGTCCTGACTTGTATCACGTGTTTCCGGGCTTCCTAGTTTGACGCTGTTAGAAAGCTTAGTGATGCTTCATGTTGAATGTGGACGTAAATAATTCACGTGTCCTGATGAACTCCACAGAGGGCCGGTCGACTGTCACTTGGATTATCGTTCCCGTCAGCGGGGGATGCTGAGAGTTGCTGAGGCAGGCTCTCAGCCCGGGAGGCCCTGGTGACATGCCGCGCCGCGCTGTGTTCCTGCAGGAGGGGCTCCGGACGCTGTGCGTGGCCTACAAGCGGCTGGGCCAGGAGGAGTATGACAGCGTCTGCAGCCTGCTGCAGGCCGCCAAGGTAGCCCTGCAAGACCGAGAGAAGAAGCTGGCGGAGGCCTACGAGCACGTCGAGAGGGACCTTGTCCTGCTGGGAGCCACGGCTGTGGAGGACCGGTGGGTCGGCGCACACAGCGCCTGTCCAGAGACGAGCAGCGACGCAGAGGACACGTGGGGAACAGCGAGGGACGGGGGGGAAACAGCACGGGACGCGGGAGGTGGAGAGTGGGGGATACCTCACGGGGTGGGGGAACCAGGGGGCACGGGGTAGACAGCCTGGGACATGGGGGAGCAAGCAGCATAGGACGGGGGCCTGGGTGGGACACGGAGGGGTGCCCAGTGGGACACAGGGGGCGGTGAGGGGCATGGGAGACGCATGGGACGTGGGACACAAGTGGGACACGGGAGGTGGACGGTGGGGGAAGAGCCGCGTGGGACACGGGGGTACGGGTGGGGACAGTGGGGAAGCAGAGCGGGGCACGGCGGGGGAGCGTTCCCTGGCGTCTCTGCATGGAGAGCGAGGCGGAGTGGGAAGCTGGCGTTGGGGTGGCTTTCCGTCTTGCTGTGGTTGAAGTCACAGCCCCTCACTCGGCCCGCAGTCCGAGCTGGAGGAGCCCGCCTGGGAGGGCACCTTGCGCGGGCGGGCTGGGAGAGGAGGCTGCACTGGGGTGAACACGGCTGCCGGGGTCCAGGCGCCGGGGCCTTGCTAGGAGAGGAGGGCTGCTCTCGGGACGAGCTTTGCTGGAGGCCAGTCCTTCTAGGTAGGGGAGGAGGGCGGTGAAGCCGCTGCAGATGAGAGGACGAGGCTGTGTGTGGGCGTGGCTGTGGGGGGCGTTGCCCTCAGAGAGCAAATGCCTGGAGTGGAGCTAGGGGCTCTGGCGCGATGATACGTGGGTGCCCGTGGTTTCCCTAAACCCGAGGCAGCAGATTTACAGACCCCCCTGGGCCTCAGTTTTCTCCTCCATGCAAATACAAAGTTAGAAACTTTTTTTCCCGTCTCTAGAACACTATGATTTTATGGTCTTGAGACTTTTCGCTTGGACATTCTTCCCAGAATCCAACCAGACCATTGCGGCTAGAATTTAAGTCCATTCTTTTCATTCATATTTGATGGAAACATCGTGCATTGTATCACATGAGAGTGAAGGCTCTCATCTAGAAAAAGGTGCAGGCCAGCAAGATGAGGCCAACCCGGCAGAGAGGGCAGGCCCCCAGAGGAGAGTGACACGTGACACGACGGCCAGTGTCAGGAGGGCCACTGTCCTCAGACACGTCTGGCCCCTCTGTAGGCTTTGGGTTTTCTTTCTTTTTTGTTTTTGAGTTGAAGTCTCACTCTGTCGCCCAGACTGGAGTGCAGTGGCCGCTCCCGGCCACCGCAGCCTTGACCTGCTGGGCTCTGGCGATCCTTCCGCCTCAGCCTTCCGAGTAGCCGGAATTACAGGCATGTGCTACCAAGCCCAGCTGATTTTTTGATTTATTGTAGAGATGAGGTCTTGCTGCCCAGGCGGGTCTCAAACCCGCCAGCTTAGGCAATCCACTCATCTCAACCTCCCAAAGGCGCGGGATTACAGGCTGAGCCACCGAGCCCGGCTCGGCTTTGGGTTTTCTATCCATAAAGTGGGTGTGGAATAAAGCTCGCACCCCAGGAGGACACGGGTTGCACCCAGGCCTGGCGTGTGGGAGCTGCGGGGCCTGTGGCTAGTCGTAGGGTCACCCATGTTGCATCCGTCTTTTGCATGGTTCGAGGCGCCTGGCCTCCAGTCTGTGAAGTGAAGCAAAGGATAACAAGGCCACCAGCTGCCTCTGCTCCGGCCCCGGTGTTCCGTGGCTGAGACCCTTGCTCTGGGTCACGGTGGTCCTTCCCAGCTGTTCCTAAAACCCTCTCCAGGTAGCGAGTCCCAGCCAGACAGAAACCGTATGCCTGTGTGTGTCAATTATACAGAACAGCCAGCTTACTTCTTAATTTTTTTTTCCTTGAGTCGAGGTCTCACTCTGTCACCCAGCCTGGTGGCAGTGGCACGATCACGGCTCACCGCAGCCTCCAACTCCTGGGCCCAAGTGATCCTCCCTCCTCAGCCTCCCAAGTAACTGGGGCTGCGGGTGTGCACTAACATGTCTGGCTAATTTTCTTTTCCTTTCTTTGTTTCTTTTTTCTTTTTTTGTAGAAATAAGGTCTTGCTATGTCACCCAGGCAGGTCTCAAACTCCTGGCCCAAGAGATCTCCTGCCTCAGCCCCCCAAAATGCTGGGATGACAGGCCTGAGCCACTGTGCCCAGTGAAGAAAGATTTACATGTTTTGCGAAGCAGCTCCATTTGGTGTTATGAAGTGCTTCCTTGTGAAATGCGAATTCGGAACTTTTAGGGCTGGTTCGGGTGCTTTATGGGAAGACGGTGGACCGCAGCGTGGCGTTTGCCGAATCGGAGGGGCCAAGATATTTGCGGCGCCTCGCCGTCTCTGCGGGTCTTGTCGCCGACCGGCCTTGGCCGGGGTTGGCTCAGGTCTGCCTTCCGCTTTGCTCTGCCCAGGCTCCAGGAGAAGGCGGCAGATACCATCGAGGCCCTGCAGAAGGCCGGGATCAAGGTCTGGGTTCTCACCGGGGACAAGATGGAGACGGCCGCAGCCACCTGCTACGCCTGCAGGCTCTTCCGGAGGGGCACGCAGCTGCTGGAACTGACCACCAAGAAGCTGGAGGAGCAGAGTCTGCACGACGTGCTGTTCGAACTGAGCAAGACCGTGCTGCACCACAGCGGCAGCCTCCCGCGGGACGGCCTCTCAGGGTAGGGGGCGCTCCTGGGAGGAGGGGCCAGGCTGTGTCCTCGCCGGCAGCCTTCTGGGCGGCCTCTTGGTGGGGGGCGCCGCCCGCCCGCGGAAGAGCCAGGACCGGCGACCTCCCCGCCAGTCTGGGAACCCAGGCCCTCCCTGTGAGCTGGCTCTCTCCGGGCGTGGACGCCTGCTTCACTTGGGTCACAGCACTCTGGAAACAAGGCCAGAGGTTTCGCTTCTCAGCAGCCGTGACGTGTCTGTGTGTGTGTCTGTGCATGCATGTGTGCATGCGTGTGTCTGTCTGTGCATGTGAGTGTGTGCGCATGTGTGTGTTCAGTTTCAAACTGCTGGATCACAGATACCTTTGCCACATGGTTGATTTTTTTGAGTCAGGGTCTCACCCTGTCACCCAGGCTGGTGTGCAGTGGCATGCTCACAACCACCGCAGCCTCCACCTGCTGGGCTCCGGTGATCCTTCCGCCTCAGCCTTACCAGTAGCTGGAACTACAGGAGCGCACCACCATTCCTGGCTCATTTTTTCATTTATTGTAGAAATGAGGTCTCACCAAGTTGCCCAGGCTGGTCTCAGACCCCTGGGCTCAGGCAGTCCTCTGGTCTTGACTTCCCAAAGTGCTGGGATGACAGGCGTGAGCCACCACGACCACTCGCGTGAATGACTGATAAAATGTTTTGAACGAGGCAGTTCTCATCTGCTTCTAAGTCTTAGGCGTTCATGGCAGACCCTCAGTGCATCTGCAGGGACGTCAGAAAGTGTGAGTAGTGCATGGCTGTTTGTCTCAGACCCAGCGCTGTGCCCAGGAGTTGTTTTTATCCAAGCATATCCAGCAGTTTGTTCAGATGCGTTTTATCAATGCCGCCCTCGCTGGCGTTGGATGTGCTGAGCTTAGATTCTGTTTGAACCATTTCCGGGTTTCGCTAAGCAGGCAAAGCAAAAGCAGGCAGACCCCGGATCCCAGGCAGACCTTAAATTATTCATGACGGAGCAGAGATCTTTCCCGTCACCCGATCTGTAGGATTCCTTCCAGGGTCAGAGATGTTCCTCGTGATTCTGAAACGGGGACATGCTGACCGTGCCCTTCCAGCTCAGGTCACTGGGCAGAGACGGAGGAGAGATTCGCCGTGCAGATAAGCACAGAGGCCGACCCGTGCGGCCAGGAGGTCCAGGGATGTTCGCTGACCTCCTTAGACCAAGATCGGTGCCCTCCGTACGCCACCTCAGAAGGGTGGGGCTGACACGAGCCCAAGAGAAGTGTGTGCTTGCCTCGCCACATGGAGGAGGAATGTGTCCCTGCGGCAGTGGGAAGAGGTGGTCAGAGGCCCTGCATTTGGTGCTGTGAAGACGATGTTGACAACAAGAAATACTCATTTTCCGCTCTGTCTTTGAATCGGGGTCTCACTGTGTCGCCTTGGCTGACGACCACAGCTCGCCACTGCCTCGACCTGCTGGGCTCAGGCGATCCTCCTGCCTCAGCCTCCCAAGTAGCTGGGACTATAGGCACGCGCCACCACATACGGCTGATTTTTTAAATTTTTTGTAGAGACGAGATCTTGCCATGTTGCCCAGGCTGGTCTCAAACTTCAGGGCCCAGGCGATCCTCCCGCCTCAGCCTCCCAAAGTGCTGGGATGACAGGCATGAGCCACCACACCCGGCCTAAATATTGGTTTCTGACCCCCTGGATCTGTGGCCTCGTCGATGCCTAATGGCCGCATAGTCTCTCCGAATCTGTGCTGGCTGTCGGGTCACCCTGGCCGTGTGGTCTTCTCGCAGGCTCTCGGCGGACACACAGGACTACGGCCTGATCATCGACGGGGCGGCGCTGTCTCTCATCATGAAGCCGCGGGAGGACGGCAGCTCCGGCAACTACCGCGAGCTCTTCCTGGAGGTCTGCCGCAACTGCAGCGCCGTGCTGTGCTGCCGCATGGCGCCGCTGCAGAAGGCGCAGGTGCGTCCTCGGCCCGGGGGGGCCCCAGGGCCTTGCTCTGCCACGACCCTGCAGCCTGGAGACTCCAGCAGGTCCTTCCTCCCTCCCTCCCTCCCTCCCAGTAGAGAGGCCGGTCTCACTGTGTGCACAGGCTGGTCTTGAGCTCCTAGGCTCCCCAGGTGCTGGAACTACAGGCGTGAGCCACCACGCCTGTCCTGCCTTTTTAAAGCAGATTAGAAGGTGGTAGAGACTGAAGACCGGCTGGTCTGACCAGCCCTGGCGACGCGCGTGTTGACTGGATCAGGTCCGTGCGCCTTCCAGAAGGAGCAGTGGGGGAGCTGCCCCCTAGCCATCCCAAGAACGCGCACGACAGAGGGAGGGAAGGGAGTGGACATCGACTGAGCGCCCACCGTGTGCCGCGAGTCACGCCGGCGGGTGGCAGAGGTGGTCCTGGCTTCCACCCTGGAATAACTTGTCTGATGGACGCAGTGTGGAGTCAGGACTCGAGGTCTGGCCGTCAGACCCCAGACGTTCTACTCCACCATGACCTTGTGGGGAACACACGCCCGTGGCTTTTTTTGCACATTAGGGAACGTGCAAGTAAATGTGGGTGTCCTTCTGACGCCGGTACCACAAACAGACCCAGCTTTGATTTACCGCCCTTGGGTGTCACAGGCCCATCTATCACAAGCCGCTCGTGAAACAGATCCCTGGTTTCTCGGGCTCGCCCGGTGGTGGAGGTGTCACACATGCCTGCACACGCATCTGTGCAAGGAGGCGCATCCAGCGCCTTGACGTGCCCGACCTGTCCGTGCACTGATGACAGAGCCTGCCGTCTGGGTACCCCCCAGAGCGCACGCTGGTCTCGGGAGTTCCCGTGCGTTCTTGTTGGGGAAGTGGGGTCTCGACCTCCAGCACGAGCACCTGGCTCCACGCCAGCCTGCGCGGCCCCTCCAGAGCGGCAGCCCGGGGTCTTGCCTGCTCGTAGTGTAACCCGCGGACTGCTTTCGGGTGCTCAGCTGGCTTTCGAGACGCCTCACCCAAATTGACTTGCTTTTCCATCTCCCATCTCGAAACACAAGGGCAGCCCACATGTTCCCGGTGGTCTTGGTCTTTGGTCCTGGACCGTGACCCTTGGGCACATGGGTGGGCAAAAAGCTGCAGAGAAACTGGCCGAACAACTGGGAATCACTCGTCGCATCGGGTTGTCAGCTCCACTTGTGTGTGCGTGACAAGTGTGGACATCAGAGTAGCCCTGGGAGCAGTGCGTCTTTGAAAATCAATGTTAGCCGGGCTCGGTGGCTCAGCCTGTAATCCCGCGCTTTGGGAGGCTGAGGTGAGTGGATTGCCTGAGCCCGTGGGTTCGAGACCCGCCCGGGCAACGTGGCGAGACCTCATCTCTACAATAAATCAAGGAAAATTAGCCGGGTGTGGTGGTGCACGCCTGTGGTTCCAGCTATTTGAAAGGCTGAGGCGGAAGGATCGCCTGAGCCCAGCAGGTTGAGGCTGCGGTAGCCATGAGCATGCCACAGCACTCCAGCCGGGGTGACAGTGAGACTTCGACTCAAAGAATGAAACAGATGCTTTATGCCAAATAGCTTGGAATGCCTTGGAATAGTACGCTCTTCAGCGGAATGCAGGGGTGGCTTTTGTCTCTGTGCTTTTGAATGTCTCCCACACATACTTGCAAACACATGACCGTGACAGTGACCAGACGCCCCTTTGCATGCCCCGTCTCTGCCATCCAACATTGCCAGCACCCCCATCACATCTTGCCGCTTCACTTAGCTTTGTGCTGTGCTCGGCAAGACAGGGTTTTATCCCACGTGGAGAACATACGCTGGCTCTGGTGGGTCAGCTCTGCGCGGGCAGGTGTTCATTTCCCGAGGCCGTCTTCACGGCATTGCCTTTGCCCGGCTGGTGACTCACGTGCACAGACATGCGGCCGCGAAGCCACGTGCCACGCGGATGTCTCTTACAGATTGTGAAGTTGATCAAGTTTTCAAAAGAGCACCCCATCACGCTGGCGATTGGTGACGGCGCCAACGACGTCAGCATGATCCTGGAAGCCCACGTGGGCATAGGTGAGCCACGTCCTTGGCCACAGGTGACCGGCCTCCCACAGGCAGGGCCGTCACGGCGTGTGGGGTGGGGTGTGCGACCGAGGGCTCGTGCCGGGCGCTCCTCACAGGCGGTCTTCCCACCCGGGCCCCCCCGCCTCCCCCCACAGGAGTCATTGGGAAGGAAGGCCGGCAGGCAGCCAGGAACAGCGACTATGCCATCCCCAAGTTCAAGCACCTGAAGAAGATGCTGCTGGTGCACGGGCACTTCTACTATGTCCGGATCTCAGAGCTCGTGCAGTACTTCTTCTACAAGGTGGGCCTCCCGGTCACGGGCAGCGCGGGGCTCCCGGACGCCTTCTCTAAAGGCAGGCGGAGGCTGGAGCGGGGCTCACACCTGCGTCGCGGTGCTCTGGGAGGCCAAGGCGGGGGCGCTGCGTGAGGCCCGGAGCCTGAGACCAGCCGGGTCGGCACAACAAGGCCCCTTCTCTATAAAAATAAAAGTGGAAGGTGAGTCAGGCATGCTGGCGTGCCTGTAGTCCTAGCTACTCCGGAGGTGGCGGGGGCGGACCACTTCGGCCCAGGAGGTCGAGACTTCAGTGCACTGTGAAGTCTCTGCACTGTACTCCAGCCTGGGTGACAGAGCAAGACCCCGTCTCAAAAACAAACACAGGAACACACAAGGCTCAGAAGAGACGGGCTGATCCCATCACAGTCCTCGACCCGTGAATTCAGTCGCCTGAGGTCCAAAAATAGCGGCATGGAAAATTCTAGAGACAACTCATCAGCTTTAAACCACACGCCATTCTGAGTAGCAGGATGGAATCTTGGGCCACCCCACTCTGTCCCTCCGGAATGCGACTCGTCCCTGTGTCTTACCTCTCCACACTGCCTCCTCTTCCTGTTGGCCACTCTGGGACCACTGTCTGCATCACCCACTCATTAGTCACTCTGTGGTCACTGTCTACACTGCCTGCCCGCTAGTTGCTTTGCAGCTGCTGTGTACACCCCCTGCCTGTGAGTCCCTCTGTGGCTGCTGGGTGCCCAGGGGCACAGATCCCAGGACGGCGACCACAGCACACCATGTGATAAGAGTGCACACGCCACTGTCACCCTGCTGTCCCTTCCTGCCGTGGTTCCTGTCCTGAGCCCCGTCTGCACACCCACCCACCCATCTGCATGGACAGCATCACGGCTCCATCCCTTCCACGGCTGCTCTCTCCCAGGGGATCTCGGACCATCTCCCCGAGGACGGGGACTGCGGCAGCCCTGGCCCTGTTCTCATCCCCACTGGGGCGGAGCCGTGATCACACCCCAGGATGTTCGAGGAAGGCGTTCCTTCCCATGCGCCAGTCCCAGCTCCCTGCGTACCGTGAAACAGCCCCTCCTGGTCGCCCTCAGCCACACCCGCCCCGTGGGGTCTGTCCCCAGTGTGACCTGAGCACAGCCGCAGGCTTCCGCCAGCCGCCTCAGAGGCGAGAGGAGCATGTCTGGCGCCCTCCGCGCCGCCTTGGGGGCGCAGGACCTGCTGGTCACCGCGTGTTGGCGGCCCCAGGCGGCACCTATGGGGTCTTCAGCGTCCACAGGCCCCCACTGACAGCTGTGCTTCTCTTTCAGAACGTCTGCTTTATCTTCCCGCAGTTCTTGTACCAGTTCTTCTGCGGGTTCTCACAGCAGGTCAGTGTCGTGTCCCACAGGCCGTGCCCCTCACTGGCGGGTGGCAGTGGCAGGCGGAGTTGGCCTGGGGACACGCGAGGGGCCTGGTGGGAGGCGGGGCGGAAGCCAGGGCCGTGCCCGTGGCCCGGGCCTGTCGGCAGCAGGGCAGAGTCCAGGCCCAGAGCGGGCCGTGTGCAGGGGCATGGCCATGCCAAGTCCCTCAGTCCCCAGTGACCAGCCTGGGTGACACAGCAAGACCCCCGACCCCGCGTGTCTCTGAGACGCAGGCTGGTGGGGCTGCCACCCACCCCCCAGGCCCCAGCGGTGCGTCGGCCTTTCTGACGCCAACGGCAGGATTCAGCTAAGCCTGAGGTCCCAGGTCGTCCGGCACCTGGCGGGTTGGCCCATGCAGGGTCGGGTGGAGGCAGCTCCGGCCCAGGAGGGGTGAAGGGCTCCCCAGACACTGGCGCAAGTGGACACACCTGTTCCGCGAGTGCTCAGAGGCTCTTGGGCAGGGACTGTAGCTGGGCTCATGGAAGCTTCAGGATGGTGATCAGTGTTGCAGACGTTCCACAAACGTTCTTTGCTGGTGTTTTTCCTGGAGTTTCCGTGGTTGATGGGCTGGTCAGGGCCTCCCGCCAGCTGTGATTTTAATCCTAACTAGCTGGCATCATGAGCTTTGAAAATTGTCCCAGTCCTTCTGTAGCTGTAGAAAGACGGATCTATGCGTTTCAGACGCGTGTATGCTCCCTGGTCGCTGTTTGCAAATGTAAAAGCACGTATTTCAGTAAAACTTCAAACATGTTTGTGGCCGGGCATGGCGGAGCACGCCTGTAGTCCTGGCGCTTTGGGAGGCCTGAGCAGAAGGACCGCTTGAGGCCAGGAGGGTGAGACCATCCTGGGCCACGCGGCAGGGTGTCAGCTCTATCAAAAAAAGTGTCGCGGGTGTGGGGTGTCACCTTCGTCCCCGGGAGGCCCAGGCTGCAGTGAGGCGGAGGGCGCGGCGGCCTCCAGCCCGGGTGGCGGCACGCCAGCCGGCTCGGAACTCCGCCTGCGTGGGCCGCGGGCACGCGCTTCAGGCCTCTCGGTCCGCAGACGCTGTACGACACCGCCTACTTGACCCTCTACAACATCAGCTTCACGTCCCTGCCCATCCTGCTGTACAGCCTCATGGAGCAGCATGTGAGCGTGGACGCGCTCAAGCGGGACCCCACCCTGTACAGGTACGGCCAGGGGACGGGGGATGGGGAGTGGCCAGGACGGTGGGGAGGGCAGCCCGCCCTCCCAGCGGCAGAGAGGGTGGCCGGGTGGGAACGGCCCCAGGGGGTGCCTGCGGGGGACCCGCCTGTGCAGGTGAGGGCTGGAGGGACTCTCAGAGCGTGCCTGGGGGGTGCCCGGCCTGTCCTTGCTGCATACCTAGGGGGCTGGAAGGGGCCCTGTCCGGGGGAGGGCGGCCTTCCTTCCTTCCAGCAGAGAGGCCGACCATGGGAGGGACTTGGCCCTGTCCCGGTTGGGGCAGGAGGGATCCCAGGGAGTGGCTGGGGCGGACCCGTCTGTCCAGGTGAGGGTGGCCCTCACTCCTACTCCAGAAAGGGCGGCTGGGCAAGAGGGACCCAGGCAGTGTCTGCGGGGGAGGGCGGCCTGCCTGCCTCACGGCAGCTGCCGGGCGAGGGGGGACCCCAGGGGGCGCGGGACCCCGGGAGCGCCTGGGGGGACCAGCCCTCTTCGGGTGAGGGCGACCTTCCTGCCCTGCAGCAGAGAGGACTGCCGGGCAAGCGGCGCCCAGGGGGTGCTTGCGGGGGGATCCGGCCCTGACCACGTGAGGGCGGCCTTCCCTCCTACCCTCCTGACGACGGAGAGGATGACTGCAGGTTGACCCTCAGGGGGCGCCCGGGGGCCCTAATTTAGAAGTCAGCAGCATTCACTGTTGGTTGCACTTGCTTCTACAGGAGAGACTTCTGTTTTTGTTTTTATGTTTATCTATCTGGATTTTTTTGAGTTGGGATCTCCCTCTGCTGCCCAGATTGGAGTCCAGCGGTACAGTCACAGCTCACTGCAGCCTCCAACTCCTGGGCTCAAGAGATCCTCCTTCTTCAGCCTCCCGAGTAGCTGGGACTACAGGCTCGTGACACCACGCCTGACCAATTAGTTTTCTGTTTTTTGTAGACAGAGGGTCACATTTTGTTGCCCAGGGCGGTCTCGAACTCCTGGCCCCAAGAGATTTCCTGTCCTGGCCTCCTCAAGTGCTGGGATGACAGGCATGAGCCACTGCACTTAGCACAGGAAACTCTTGAAACAGGAAGGGACACAGTTTCCATGAATGATCTGCACTGTTTTTGTTTTTGAGTCAGGGTCTCACTCTGTCGCCCAGGCTGGGGTGTAGTGGGACGATCGTGGCTCGCCATAGCCTTGACTTCCCTGGGCCAGGCAGTCCTGCCGCTTCAACCTCCCAAGTAGCTGGGGACTCCAGGCAGGCGCCACCATGCCCAGATAATATTTTGATTTTCTTGTACAGATGAGGCCTGACTGTGTTGCCCAGGCTGGTCTCGATCTCCTGGGCTCCAGCGACCCTCCCACCTGGGTCTCCCCAAGGGCCGGGGTTACCGGCGCGGGACCGTGGCCAACCTAGGCTTTCCGTGGCCATAGATGACTCGAGTTGCATTTGGAGCGTCTCTGTGTAGCCAGTCTGTGTTCTCCTTGGCCTTGGGTGGTCTGGGAGCCGGGCAAGAGTGTCCATCCTGTGGGACCCCAGCGTGTTCTCTGTGGGGAGAGACTGGGAGAGCAGCGGGGGGTTCGGCGCACCCGTCCCTGGAGGTCGTTGTCCACGGAGGCCCCAGGTCCCCGGCAGACTCCACGTCCATTTCCTGTGCCTCCTCCGCTGCGCTTCCACTTCTCAGATTATTTTAGATCTGCGTGTAGCTATGAGGACCGGCACTGACTCCGTGGGCGTGACTTAGTCTCCCCCACAGCAGCGCGTGAGCGCGGCGGTCAGGGTCCCAGCTGACACCGTAGTACAGAGCTGACTCCATGGAATTGTGCTGAATTGGCAGCGTTCACCCGGACCACCCAGCTCTGCCCACTGTGTGTGTGCGTGCATGCGTGCATGCGTGTGCATGGGTGTGTGGCTTGAAGTGGTCTTCCCACGGGTCTGGCTGTGCATCCGCCCCCACAGTCAGAGTCGGTGAGCTTCCCTGACAGGTTCTGTGGGAACCCCGCACAGACTCCCTGCCTTCCTCAGATATTTGGGTCTCGGAGTCTTGGGCCCCAAAACAGCCACGGTGGGTGATTAAGAACAGCAGCACGAAGGCAAAATTGGTCTGTCCTGTGTACTTAATAATCAGGGCCGGACGAGGTGGCTCACACCTGTAACCCCAACACTCTGGGAGGCTAAGGCAGGAGGATTGCTTGAGCCCAGGAGTTCGAGACCAGCCTGGGCAACATAGCAAGACCTTGTCTCTACAAAGAAAAAAATTAGCTGGGCGCAGTGGTGTGCACCTCTAGTCTCAGCTTCTTGGGAGGCTGAGGGCAGAGGCTCATGGGAGCCCAGGCGGTCGAGGCTGCGGTGAGCTGTGATTGTGCCACTGCACTCCAGCCTGGGGGACAGGGTGAGACCCCAACTCAAAGTAATAATAATAACAGGAATGAGTCCAGGGAAACAGGAGCATGTATGCTGCTTCAACGTGCAAGCAGAGACGTCACGTCACGTGTGAGCCACATGCCTGAGGTCTTAGGTCGCTGTAGTGAGTGTCGGTGTGCATGCGGTGTCTGTGAGTCACTCTCAGAAGCAGACGTGTGCCTGGCACTCCCCTCTACCTCTGGGGACATCACAGTGCACGTGAGAGCGAGCACACGCCCACGGAGGTCAGCAGGGTCCTAGCATGTCGTGAGGCCACATCGAAGGACGGTCTGCATCAGCTGCCGAGGCACACAGCGCTGTTTCCTGCCGTGTCTTGTCACACAGAGACAGAGATACGCCATTGGCGGGTGGGGGTGGGCGGAGGCTGGGTGTGGACGGCGCCAGGACTTGCGGTCACCACCTCGTTCCTTCCACAGGGACATCGCCAAGAACGCGCTGCTGCGCTGGCGGGTGTTCATATACTGGACGTTCTTGGGAGTGTTCGATGCGCTGGTTTTCTTCTTCGGTGCTTATTTCATGTTTGAAAACACGACCGTGACCAGCAACGGACAGGTCAGAACTGCGCTTGGGCTCGCCGGCGTCCCGCTTAGGCGCGAGCCCTCCTGACCCACACGGCCGATGCCAGAGCGGCTCAGCGCAGGCCGTGAGGACGCCTGGTGGGGCAGACGCCCCCGCCCAAGCGTCCTCTGTGGAACGGCCCTGAGGGCCGCGTCTGCCGTGCTCGGCCCACGGAACCCCCGCCCCATGCTGGCTGTCCGTCCTGGGCTTCCCAGACGGGGTTTATAGCTCCCAGTCCCCGTTGGCTCACGGTCACCCAGTGGTTGCTTGGGCACGTGGGAAGGATGTCCTGAGCCGAGGACTGTCCCGAGTGCCTGCTCCGTGACAGGGAGTGGGCGTGGCGTTCCCGGCGGGCCTTGGCTGTCTGGTTGTTTGCAGTTTCGGGGTTTGTTTTATCCGTCTCTCGCTTTTTTCTCTTTGCCACTCGCCTCCCTCCCACCCTCAGATCATGACCACCAACACCCACATGGTAAGACGATCGCGGGTTTGTCCTTCTCTGTGTTTCTGGAGTGATTCCCAGTGAAATATTTCTCGAAAATATTTTTGATGTGACTCCCTGTGTGCTTTGTCGGTAGAGACTCAGCTAGCGGCACCCTGCCCACCGTAGCGCTTACCCATGCTGGCCAGCTGTGTGCGCCCGCGACCCCCGCCCCTGGTGTTTTCTCCCCGGTCTCTGTGTCAGGGCTGCCGGTGGGGTCGGGGACACTTGGATCGGCCCGGCTGGCCGGAGCGTCTCTCTGCTCTAAGTTAAAGGCAGCACGGCAGGTCCGAGAGGTGCAGACATGGCAGGCCTGCGCCACCAGGGAGAGCCGCAGGGGTGCTCAGAGCCGGCCCCAACGCAAATGCCCCAGCCTTCCACTGTGAGCGCCATGGCTGATGTCGGAGATAGTGAGCGCCATGGCTGATGTCGGAGAAAGGGCCCTCCAGCAAGCCCCACAGGGCGGCTTGCAGACGGACATCTGTGTACTCCTTGTCTCACCCGACACTCTGCCCCTGTGTTGGTCACCCCTCGACTGTCAGATGGAGACACGTCTTGCTGCTTGTCCTGTGCAGTTTGTTTGCCCGTTTGATTGTTTTGTTTTCTCGTGACTAAAAATGCCATCTTTCATCGTGATGTCAACCAATTCTTGCCAAGTTGGTCTTGAGACTTTTCTAGAATCTTCTTTCACTGTGGGAAAAGCTTCCATTTTCTGGAATTTCTCTTTCTCTTGGCTTATGTTGCCTGAAAAGCCCCCGGCTGTCTGCCACCCATCGGCGGTGTCGAACAGAGCCGTCTTGTGGTTCTGGGGGGCTTTCTGAGGCTTCCCTGGGGGTCAGGCTTTGCGCAAGCGTCTCACGTGTGTCGTGGAAAGAGCTGAGGCTGTGTCCTGGGAACTGAAGTCCTGGGCCCGGGCCGCCTGTTCAAGCCGCAGCCAGCGCGCCTGTCCAGCACGCCTCCATCCATCTTGCTCCCTCGAGCGTCGCCTGCCTCGCGGTGGTCACCCCCTGGGTCGGACGCGGGTGTCCTGGGGAAGCCAAGGAGACTGAGGCCTGGGCAGCCGGCCGCCTCACGCGGGCCGGGCGTCCTGAGAGCCGGGCACCTTGCCAGGGTCTGCTGCAGACTCCCTGGCACTTGTTTCACCCGGCGCTACCGCCTAGTTGCTGTCGTCTGACTTAGGGCGAAGGCGACAGGTGCCCCCGGGAACATGCCGGAGCTTGACCCCGGGGACAGGATGCGCGTCCCTGGTCGGGGGAGGTGTTCCATCCCGGCTGCACCCTCGAGCGGGGCCAGGGGCTCCTCAGGCCTTCTCAGCGGGCTCCACGCGTCCTCTTCTCCTCGGGTCCCTGGAGCCCCGGCTGGCGGTCGGCGGGAGTGCT